TTATTAAGGCCCCTATATTATATGGCTTGAAAGCGCTCATAGGATTTGTCCCCAAACGGTGTGGCACACACTGGGGTCATGGTGGAAAGAAAATTTGGTAGTGTGGCCGTGCGGAGCTCACATCCCGTTATTTACGGAGACGGTCTCCCGGCGAGTCACATTCGTTGCCTAGACCCTCCATCTATACCCTCTATTAGATGCTGAATACCCTTAATTTGGGACCATCTACCCTAAACCCTAAACCCTATAAACCCTAAGCCCTATTTGAGGGTACAAGTCCTAAACCCTGGACCTTGAACCGAGGGTCCTGGTTCACATTCCAACACGTGGGCCGCCTCCAAAACTCTGAAACTAGGGGTTTAGGGGTTTAGGGGTTTAGGGGCTTAGTGTTTAGGGTTTAGGGTTTAGGGTTTAGGACTCGGGAGAAAGCACCACCCTTACTTTTACTTCAGGGGAGACGCACTGCAGCCGCCCTCCTGATTCCTGTATCACGGTTTGGGGATGTATAGGCCGGCATAATTTTCGTTCAGTTAGCACAGTAGCGATGCACATCAGTTACCACAGTATTCTCTTCTTGTTCGACTATTGTGACTTAGATCAGGTTCCAACAAGAACCCAGTTGCGTGGCTCCTTGGCGGAGCGAGGGATCGTCCTGGCTTTGCTTTGCCACAGCATGGCGCTGCCAGTTGAGTTCGGTTTGGCAGCCTCGCAATGGCCTGCGACCAAAGGACAAGCCTGGGCCGGATTCAGAAGCCCTATAAATATTAAATTCTTATGGGCTATATACGGTTGTATAAGGATTATAGTCCTCAAAACTTAAAAAAAAATTCCAAGAACACCCCAGAAGCCGGCTTCATGCAGTAGCGGTCTTCTGCGACCAGAGGTGGTGGATTCAGCTTGCGGCAGCTGCGCTGTGTCGGGAAAGGCCGGAAGCGCTTCTGTTTCCCGACGCCACAAGTCACGGAGCAGGGCCTCTCTTCTTCAAGAACCAGGCCAAAAAAAGCTCTAAGCTCAAGCTTTGTAAGATAGATCTAATATATAGGGGTTTAGGGCTTAGGGCTATTAGGGTTTAGGGTTTAGGGTTTAGGGTAATATATAGGGACAAAAAGTTTACAGTTCTCCCATTGGCTGTCTAAGGGGCTGCCACGCGCCCCAGTCTGCGACCACACAAGCCAAGTCCTTGTATTCGGGCTCCTTCCACATACAGCCCGGCTTTGAGATACACTCCTTCAGGGCCGCGACAGTGACCCGCATAATGGGGTAAGCCCTAAACCCTAAATCCTTAAACCCTACATCCTAAACCCTAAATCCTTAAACCCTAAATCCTTAAACCCTAAATCCTTAAACCCTAAACCCTAAATCCTTAAACCCGAAACCCTAAACCCTAAATCCTTAAACCCTAAATCCTAAACCCTAAATCCTTAAACCCTGAATCCTAAACCCGTTTAAGACTTCCAGTTCAAGGCGAAGAACGTAAACCCCCAAAGCCCTGAAGCCCTTCATCCCCTCGATCCCTCAAACTTCCGTTCTTTCGGTTTAGGTTTAGGGTTTAGGGTTTAGGGTTTAGGGTTTAGGGTTTAGGGTTTAGGGTTTAGGGGTTTTAGGTTTAGGGTTTTAGGGTTCTTTACTTTTGGCGCTGGCGGAAAGTCCTCGAAATCCTCCGGGGAGCAGTCCACCGCCGTTACCTTCGGCTCGGTCTTCACCCACTCAATAGGCAGAAATTGGAGCCTTGGTGGCAACGGTCTATTACTTCCCCAAGAAGCCAGTAAAAAAAAATGTTAAACTTTCAGATTACTACTAAACTATAAAAACCCCAAAAAATTAGAGGTCGGGTATTGGGGAACTGAGGTTTAGGGTTTAGGGGCAGTTCAGGGTTCATGGCTTTAAGGCTTCAGGATTTGGAATCGCGCTTGCAACGCAGCGCCCGCAGTTTTCAGACTAAACGCTAAACCCTGCTTGGAGGATCATGGGACCTAGTAAGTAAGGTTATAGGTCCCTTGATTGGGGATATAAGTAAATATAAGTATAGTTACCTTACGTAATTATAACATAACCGTACTTACTAAGTCCCATGATCCTCCAAGTAACCTTTTTCAGACGGTTCCTGGCAGGGAACTGCAGTACGTCAGACCCGTGGCAGCTGGAGCTTGAGAAGTTTGGGGTTTAGGCTGCTATAAGGGTTTAGGGTTTAGAGTTTAGGGTTTGGGCTGCTATAAGGGTTTAGGGTTTAGAGTTTAGGGTTTAGGCTGCTATAAGGGTTTAGGGTTTAGAGTTTAGGGTTTAGGCTGCTATAAGGGTCTAGGCTTTAGAGTTTAGGGTTTAGGCTGCTATAAGGGTTTAGGGGTTTAGGCTGCTATAAGGGTTTGGGTTTAGAGTTCAGGATTTAGGCTGCTATAAGGGTTTAGGGTTTAGAGTTTAGGGTTCAGGCTGCTATAAGGGTTTAGGGGTTTAGGCTGTATAAGGGTTTGGGTTTAGAGTTCAGGATTTAGGCTGCTATAAGGGTTTAGGGTTTAGAGTTTAGGGTTCAGGCTGCTATAAGGGTTTAGGACATAGAGTTTAGGGTTTGGGCTACTATAGGGGTTTAGGGTTTAGAGTTTAGGGCTTAGGCTATTATAAGGGTTCTGCGAGGGAAACGATTCTAGAAGTTGTAGACATCAGGCTTTGACTGAACCTTTAGCCGCCTCTAACCCTACGAAAACAGGCTCTGTCGCAAGATCGGTAAGTTTCCTGTCCCTAAACCCTAAACCCTAAGTTTAAGGGCTCCTATTTGGTAAAATCTGACAACGTACATGGGAAAGCCCTCATATCCTGATTCTGCAGAAAGGATGCCTCTTGCTCGAAGCTTCTTTGTTCGATCCTAAACCCTAAACTGAACTTTCGGATTTTCGGCATTTGACATGGAGCTTCGGTTTGTTAGGATTTAACGAATTTCAGGTTCAGCATTTAGGGCTGTAAGTATGCTGCGTCTCCCCATATAAGCCCTGTCATACTTATCCCAAAATCCATCTTACTATCTGTGCCCACTAAACCGAAAGAGCGTCCGCGCAGGGTGTCAGGGGAGTGGGGTTTAGGTTTTAGGGTTTAGGGTTTTGGGGTTTAGGGACTAGGGCTTTAGGGTTTTAGGGTTTAGGGTTTAGGGTTTCAGGGTTTAGGCTTTAGGGTTTATGGTTTCGGGNNGGGTGTCTTGAACAACCGGCCAAGAAACGACGTGGCCCAGCTGGGTTGCACCCACGACGAGGGTACTGTCACCTGAAAGCTTCAACCGGGGTTTTGTATGTGCAGCTTCGGGGATAACGGGGATCAGGGCTAGGGGGGCTTCGGGGGTTGGAGTTTTGAGGGTTTGTCGGCGCTCGTGTTCAGGCTTTAGGAGCATTTGTCATGGCATCGTGTTGTTCAGCAGGCATTAAGGGTTTGGAAGCTTCTGGCTTATGTATCACGGAAGAAAGGTGTCTTCCCCTCCTCTTGGAAGCAGCGCTGACGTCAGAATTAAACATAACCACAAGGATAACGACGAGGCACATAACCGTAAGCAATGCAGTGACAAGTTATCCACAAGTCACACCGGACCCAAACCTTTAAACGAGAACAGTGATAATAGCAAGGACAATAAGCTTACGGACAGGCTCTTCTGCAGCTTTTGTGACCTGAGCTCGCATTAAACCCTAGTATAGCATAGCACAGCAAAACATAGTATAGCATAGCATGGTTTAGCATCGTACCTTGAGCCGTAAGCTTGTGCCTGAAGCCAAGCACCTAGAAATGCTTTGCAGTCAAACCCTAAACCCTAAACCGTAAACCCCTAAACCCCTAAACCCTAAACCCCTAGACCCTAAAACCCTAAACCCCTAAACCCCTAAACCCTAAGTTCACGACATGTGTGTCAGGATGCTAGTTGCT